TTGATGTTGTACATTTTAAGTAGGCCTACGTGCAACTGGAACAATGTTAAAAAGATGATTTAAAGACTAGGTTCGGAAAATATTAGCAGGTGAGTTGTGCTAGTACCGGTATCTGTAGCACAAGTTGTCGAGTCAGAGAAGAAGCTTAAAACCCTTACTATTATTAAGGTGTATCCTGCTAAAAATTGGGAGGTTTTTATAATAATAATTGGTAAGGGGATTTTAATATTGAAGAAACTGAGGAGCCAGAAGGGGAACAAACCTTGTGTTGGACAGTGTTGATATTTCTGACAATGATGTTGTCGGAATGACTTAGGCCTACATAGGAGGGTTACCGGTAAATTATTAAAACAGGTTTAATGTAACTGTTATAAATCTAAATTTGTGTTAAGTAAGCAAACACAATCCTCAATTCAGTCACTTTCTTATTGTTTTACCGTGATAGATGGTTAAATTTACAATTTGTTTTTTTTTTTAAGGGGGAGGAGGGAAAATGCTTTTACGCACACAGGTAGCCAGCCTGTAGTGTGAGACTCCTGAATCTATCACAGACTACTCACTAAAAAACCCCCTCTACTCTGTTGGACACAGACCTGGAATTGTTTGTCACATTACTTCAAGTCAGGCCAACATGTGATCTGTATATGCAATCGGGTGACACGGCATTGTCCATCTTGAACAGGTACGACCGGAAAAAGCCGTGACCCGTCAGAAATTGGGTGAGGTAGAAGTCCACCTCTCCGCACCGCCGATTAACCCAAGGTTGGACTTGCTGTAGGCCTATCAGTCGCCTGGTCCAACGTCCACGAGTCTCCTGTTCCCAGCTCTCCTGCCACAGCTGGTAGGTGTGGGTGCGTTCCTCTGTTCGTGCCTGGTCCTCCCCACGGCGCTGATAAATTGCCTTTCTCTCCGCCACCAAAAGTTTGAAGGGGATGACTCCAGCGACCACCAGGACGGCGGGTTCAAACACTGTTCGGTAGGCGGATGCAACTCTTAGTGCTGCCTGACGCTGCACTCGGGCGAGCCACATCCTAAGTTATATACCTCCTTATTGAGAGCGTCTGCCCACACCTCAGCAACGTACAAGAGTACGGACTGGACAGAAGACATTAACAGCGTTCTACGGCTGGACCGAGGCCCTCTGACATTGGCCATCAACCGGCTAAGAGAGGAGACCACCCTAACGGCCTTGTCCGCCATACGGAAAATCTGACCCCGCCAGCTAAGCTTGCTGTCCACCATAACCCCAAGGTACTTGGCAGAACGAACGGTCTGGACTTCGACGGCCCGTACCCTCAACGGCACGATGGTGTCAATCCGTTTTTTGTTAATATCACGATCTCAGTTTTGCTCAAAGCAAGCGAGAGACCGTGGTCTGTCATCCATGCGTTTATAGTACGCATAACTCGGTTCAGCTTTAGCTGAGCCAGATCAACGCTACGTGCAGCTATCAAAACTGCAACGTCGTCCGCGTACACAACCAAAACAGTTTCCTCAGGCATTTCAGACCTCAGGAGGCTGTTATACGCGACATTCCATAGGTCTGGGCCGAGTATGGAACCTTGGGCAGCACCGGAAGTGACACTCATCGTCCGTGGGCCCTCTGTAGTGTCATACATGAGGAGGCGGAACCGGAGATAATTTACAATATAGGCTACATCTAAGCGTTACCTATTATAAATGCATTGATTACTGGTTTGAAGGTATTTTTGAGGTTATAATTGGTGAAATAAATGGAAACACGGCCCTTCTTAAGATGTAAAAGTCTGAAAAAGGTACTAATGTCAGTAATGTATCATGTTCTCGACAGCACAAATCTTGAGGTGTGCCTTCTTGTGGTAAAGATCTAAAGCTATTGTTTAAAAACATGCTTAATTACATTCTATAATATTTTATTAAATAATGATAGTAAAATGACGTATAATAACAGATAAATGAGGAAGAAAAAGAAACGTACAAAAAAGCGAAAGCTAGATAAGCCTACTTACAATATAAACAACTGTCGGGTAGGCCTACTGTTTAAACACAAGTTAAAACTGAAATCGGTATTTTTTTTCATTCCTCATTTTGTATATTTAACCATACGATAGCATAGCACTTTAATAAATAGTACCTAGGACATATTCGATAATGAAAACAATTATATAAAAACGTCTGCTCGAAAGAAATAGCAGCCTAACTGATAAATGTCTAACGATGCACAAACAATTTTAAACGTGTAACATACTAGCTAACTTAATCACTACACTTCACTAGGTAACATAGAACATTAGGCTACTACAAAATTTCATTACATTATCACTTCATTAAATGGTTCAAATCATGGTGGGAACTAAACTTAACCGCAGTAGTAAAAACGTATAAACTTAAGCGCTGTGTGTGTAGCGGCCGCCTATAGTTGTGACGTCACACAAGTAGCAGCACGGCCTGTATAAGTTAGCCTATCTATTGCGGCCTTGGCTAAACACAAAATGTAATTTTAACCTAACTTATATGAAAAAATGCAGAAAAAACATTGTCCTTTTAATTTTAAGAGCAAATATAACATTGGTAAGCTAACTTAGCCCTCCAAGTGTCTCTAGTTTTGGTCTTAATGTTCGCCCATTTATTGCGCAATCGCAGGGTTTTATTAAAATGTATCTTAGAAACTTAAAAACAATGTAAATTATACTGTTTTATATATCATTTTGTTTCGAAAATTATGGGCTTCAATGTAACATATAAAACATTACAAAAAAAATGTTCAACAATTTTTGTGGGATTAACATTTCTAAAAAATTATAAAATAAATGAAAAAATGTATGTTTGCGCTCAATAATTGTTATAATTTATAGGTTTACAAATTTTAAAATAGCCACTTTGTTCAGAATTTTATGAGGATTCCAAAAATATAATAATATAAGGAAGTAGGTTGGCAAATAAATAAGTTATGGGCAAAGAACAGATTTCGGTACATAGCGTTTAGTTAAGAATGCTTAGTCTAACCATAGCTAGGAATCTGGCTGATAATTTACATCAATATCACTACCTACTTCTTCAGGATCATCAACCAGCCCTTCAAAATCACTTAAATCTTCCTATAATGCACCACGTATATATCACTACTTTTGATTTTTAGCCTAACACTAAAACAATGATAAAAAAAGGAATAAAACACATCAGTCATCGGTGCGAGGTTAACCAAGCTGTTTACAAATACGCACGTCAGCTGTCTGCTACAATATTTTCGGAACTAAAATGAAAAGCGTATAGAAACAGACATCAGGAGAAAGCTCTGAATCTGCTGAAAAAAACAATACCTAACTCGATCCAGTTCAATACGATTCAGTCAGCCCCAGAGCCGTCGCCGTAAACAGTGTTTGTGAGTCGCAACAGCGACACATAACACTACAGCGGATGTGTTATGAGTCGTTTTTACGACACATAACACTCGGAGGGTTAGATGTATACTTAACTCTGATCCTCACATTTTTTATAAAATCCATAACTTATGTGTCTGTTTACTTAGTACCTTAATGTTAAAAAATACCAAATAACTTAGGCCTAAGTTAACTTAGGCCTAGGGTATTGGCCTAGCCTAATTTATAACTTATTAACTTAAATCAAACATTGATAGGCCTAGACTAAGTTAAGTTAAAATACCCCCGCCGCAGCAAACCTGCTGTCTTAGCGAATTTCCATTTGGCTGAATTGATTTTCAATTGATCTATTTAAATGACATTAGGTTTAACGAGTACCTAGGTTTGCTGCTACAAGGAAACTAATAAAGTGTGTGTTTTAAGTAAAATAATTATTGCTTAGTATAAAATGAATAGGCTATATTTGCCAAGTTTGATCAAAAGATATCCATAAACAAGCAAACTACAACATTTTACAATATTCTCCATAAGAATAACTTAACATGGGAATTTTAAATTGACCATTTTTTTAGTTTTCTCCGTAACCAATAACCGTACCAAAACACTTTGATATACTGAATTGTTTGTTTTTTAAGCTCTTTAAGAAGGTTTAGAGGAAAATGGGGGAATTTTGTGTTTTGAGGATCAAAAGTGAGAAAAACCAATTTTTACCCCATAAAACCCTGTTCCCATGGTCTGATCATGCTGGATCGCGAACTCATTCAAGTTTATCCCGCCTTACACCTTTAAACCAAATTTCATCAAAATCGGATAAAAATTACTCAAGTTATCGTGTTCACGGACACACATATATATATATATATATACATATATAAAAATTTGAACAAATGGTGTTTTTGGCCTCTGGGGACATCAAAATGAAAAAGTAAATCGGCCCCGGGCCTTTGGTTACCATGAGACCTACGGTAATAGCTACTTCCCTACAGGGAAATTCGCTAAAATGATTGTGAAAGGAGATTAGGCGTAAGTTAAATAGCCTATTGGTACCGTATCCATTTAGTTAGACAATTGATTAACTTACTGCAATACCTAGCCTATGCTAATTAGGTAAGTACTAGGAGTCCTATAGGACTAGACTTATCTATTTTATGCTTCTAGCTTAGTGAATTGATCTTTTAACCTAAAAGAATGAATTTACTCAATGTTTTAAACCGTCCAAGTTATGCCTTTGTCATGAGAAACTAAAAACAAGAATTTCTATGATATTAAAGCTATGATGCCTCTCTGCCAGTGGCCTACAGTAGCTTACATTGAGTAGAGAAAATGGTGGGAACCACTAGGCTATTCTGCAACCTAAGCCAACCCACAAACTGTAATGTAAACTTAGTCCCTTCAACTTACTCACCTTACAGCTTTACACAAGTCTTCACCAATCAAAAGATCCAAGCACACTGTTTTGTTTGCAATTAGATCGTAGAATAATTGTTAACAACTACTCTCAAGGAACTGAGACGGGAACCAATAACCAATGATGGCCAAGGCAAAACCCTAGATTGGAAGGTAGTTGGGACAAAGGTGAATTGTTTTGTTGACAATTTTCTTATTGAAAGGTGTGAGTAAAAACAGAGTCGTATAACATACCTGTAGGTTTTACGACACAAATAACACAGTGACTAAACGAGAATATTATATTCCTCTGTCTTCAATGGCTTATAATAACTAGACAGTTCCCCGCCTAAAAGGTTAGAAAATGGCGTCACTGTTTTTTAGCATTCGTAGCTCACAGATCACACTCACTGGACTGCACAGTGCAGTGCACGCACACTGGTGAAGTTTCTTATTGACATTTGTCAGACATAACCTAAGTTTATTACCAATTTAAATTGTTTAATAAGTTCAATGGCAAAGGGATTGTAAAGTGATGAAACATGGCATTTTTATTATGTTTTGTTGAATTATTGGAAATGTACTTTACAACATCTAAAATAGGGTCAATAGCTTTGTCCATTTCAAGTCCATGGTTCGGTTCGGTTGTCGGTTCTTTTCTTTCTAAGTTCTAGTTCTACTCTACTCCTACTCCTGTACTACTAGCTAAGCTATTCTTCAATCTTCACTTCATTCCTTCCTTCGCATTCTTACGTTTTTTTACTCATCCAACTATTCCAACTCTGAATATTGAAAAAAATATAATATTCATTATATTATATTATCCTTTGTGATATTGTGTATTTTTTCATACATTTATTGAGCGGAGCGAGCGAAGCTCTTATACGTCGACTTTAATGCATTTCGTAATACGCAAACTCCTCCTAGACGGCTGAATCAATCGTTTTCAAATTTTGGATGGCGATAAAGACCATATCGGTGAGTGCCAACATATATATGGCGTTAAAAATAACTCTCAGGAATCCGCCCCACTGGGTCTCAAAGTTTCAATGTAATCCTTATGGAAGCAGTATTTGACACATAAACAAAGAAATATGATCAGCTCCAGCTGTTGACTTTTGAATGCAGTAAAATAGCTGATAGCATTATTCCACAGATATTAGAACATAAACGGTGGTATAGATCATAAAATAATCAAATGACGACACTAGCTTGAGGTCCGCGACGTAGGAAGTGTTAAAGGAAGTACTAAAGGTGAACAGTCTGGAGTGTGGAAACTATTTATAACTATTTATAATGTGTGGATTAGATTTAGGTATCTGCATTCAGTGGTCAGAGGCATGGTGGAAGGAAGGGTTTGTATCACGGTTGTATAGGTTGTATGATTGTATCCAGATTTTGAACGGACCAAAACCCTTCCACCATGGATCAAAACGTGGCCGTGGTCTCATATGACCGACACTGTCGATAATTTGGGTTGTCGACAAGATGCGACTATTTCAATGTTGATAATTTGGGATGTCATTCATCTCCATCTGGGATCCCACTGTCAAAACGGGAACGCCCCAAGGCACCACGACGTCAAACAGCCACCACGTCAACCCACCAATAAAAAGAAGAAGAGGTTTGAGGTGGCGGGTTGACGTGGTGGCTCGTGTTGTCGGGGTGGCACGATAACTTGAGCGTGCACGACAACACACCACCTCGGATAAATGTGGGGTGGCGGGTTGTCGTGTTGGTGCATAGACGTGTTCATACACGTCAACCAGCCACCTCTTTAGTGTGGTAAGACATTAACCCTTGCCGAAAGACCGCCACCGCCCACCACCACCCACCACTGCTCGAGCGAACACCATTACCCCAACGATACGCTGGACAGCCGTAGGTCTCGATGGTGTAGTGGATAGCGCACCGGGCTGATAATTTGGAGGTAGCCGGTTCGAAACCCACCGGAGGCATTACATTTTTGACTCGAATTTGTATCATTATCAGCAAGTTTGGTTGGTTTGGTTAGGTTATGATAGTTTAATTTTATAATTAAAAAATTATATAATTGATTTTGAGACATTAATAATTTTATTTTATGAACAGAACAATTTTTGTTATTAGTAAACCTTCATTCGAAATATTCATTATCAGCAAGTTTGGTTAGGTTATGACAGTTAAATTAATTTAAATTTAACCTACAAACGACACGTTTTGACAGCGACAGTGATAAAGATAACAATTTCCCACGAACAGTTCGGCTATGCACGGTATGATGCGTTCTGCACGGCGCGGTGGTGGGCGGTGGCGGTCCGACGGTAAGGTCTCGTTGGTAAGACTTGTACTATATATATATTCTTTATATGTATATAAATACATATATTCTTTATAGATCTTGCAATTCTTAACTTCATTAATTCATTTGATGTTTCCTAAAATATATTTGAGGTGGCTCATAGCAAAACTGACCAAGTAACACTTTTTTCAATACACCAGACCGAGTAACACTATAGGAGTCAATACACCAGACCGAGTGCTCAGTTTATGTCAAAACTGGCTAATTGCTATTTTAAAATAATTCTTAAGTTTATTGGTTGTATCTTTTCCATCCCGACTTTTGTAGCAGAACTGGTCATTTGCTGCCGACCAATAGCGCAGCTTATGATTACATATGATTATGTACGTGACTGTTTGTTTACCATTTACCAGTAAAGGATGTAAGTTTGTTTACACATTAACTTACTGAAGAGTGAAGTTTTTTCATTTATTTTTTTTTGTTTATTCAATCTGTTTTATAATATAATAGCTGTAACCCGCGGGCTTTGCCCCGTTTAACTTCTTAATTTTCAAGATTATCTCGTTCGCATGGCTCTCCTGGTTGAAGTTTGTTCGCTACGCTCACTCACCTTTAGGTTGTAGCTCGTTCGCTGCGCTCACTTGCCTTCAGGTTAGCTCGTTCGCTACGCTAACTCGCCTCCAGGTTGAAGTTCGTTCGCTACGCTCACTCACCTTTTGGTTGCAAATTAGCTGTTGTCATAAATGTAAAAGAAATAATAGTGCTGCACCCTGTCGGTAATCATTGTAACTTTAATGCTATTGAACATCATAGAACAGAACCAACTTGTTTAATTGAAACAGCTGTTTAGATTCAATAATTCCTTTTCTCATAAGGTTAACATGGGAAACTCCAGAGCCACTGGGGCGGAGCCCGAAAGGATTTTTGAAATAAGAATATGCCTATATGTTAATCGGGAATGTGAGCTATCATCATGCCAAATTTCAGCCCAATCCGACCAGTATTTTTCGAGTTTACTTTTCCCATACACACATACAGCAACCACCTCTTTTTTATAATAGTATACAGGGTGTTCATTTGAAAACTTTCCATATCTGTTGTGTGCAAAGGTAAGGCTTTTAACACTTGTTTGTTCTCATTTCCCCCTAATTTGGACATGCCAAATCCAATAAAATTATTTTCAATTTTGAAAAATGCCCCAAAAGGGCCCAATTTGGGGGGTAGGGGTGCTTTTTGAGAAATTTTCAAATGTAAACATGGGTTGTGTGATACATCAATTTAAAGGTCTAATCACCCCGATCATTTTGGTGCAAAAAAAGTTTAATTATCTTTAACCGTATTTACAGGGTGGGTCAAAACGTTTTAAAAAAGGACTTTGAAGTTAAGTACCGTATTACCCTAACTACTGAACGGAACAGCGCCAAATTTCTTTCCAAGCTTATTCTTGAGCTACTCTTTAAGATAACTTGTAGTAAGGGCATTTTCCAAGTTATTTTCTAATTTTTAAAAAATCTCAAATTTTAAGAATAAGAAAGCTGAAAACTCAAAATTCTTAAATAGCAAGGTATAACAAATTTCATACCACGTGAAAGGTCCTTTTTTAACAAACATTTTACGTATTTAAGTTTTCTTTCTATCTCTTACCGTTTAAAAATTGCAGTGGAAAAACATAATTTTCCATGGTAAAATTATAACTAGTTTTCTAATAAAACACATTGCACTTTGTTCAACGATGTAGTAGGATTCATAACAAATTGATCGACTACTTTTACGTGTGTCAGAATTCATCTTGGACCCTTCATCCTGTTCTTTTCTCATTGGTAACTGAGCCAGTTTCAGAAAACTTCCTAACTAAATCATTTACAGCCATATGACTCAAGGTTATACCTGGATATCTATTGTTAAACACTTTGCAGTTATCCTGGAACACTTTTGTTATGACCAATAAGTAAAATAAAGTATATTTTTTTAAGTTTACACCATATTTGATTAGGTACTACAGGAAATTGTACTTTTGAAATTAGTACTACCATTGACTAGTCAATGGTACCGGTACTACAGAAAGCGGCCCACGCTTGGGTTTTTCTCATCAGCTATAAAACTTGTTTCTCACAAAGTAAAACGTAATGACTTGTTTGCCTATCTGCCTAAAAATAATTATGAATTGTTTCCTTCAGTTATTGCACCATTTAATGTGTCTAGAGACGAATTTTGGCTGTTTTATTAGAAAACTAGTTACAATTTTACCACAGAAAATTATGTTTTTCTACTGCAATTTTTAAACGGTAAGAGATAGAAAGAAAACTTAAATACGTAAAATGTTTGTTAAAAAAGGACCTTTCACGTGGTATGAAATTTGTTATACCTTGCTATTTAAGAATTTTGAGTTTTCAGCTTTCTTTTATTCTTAAAATTTGAGATTTTTTTAAAATTAGAAAATAACTTGGAAAATGCCCTTACTACAAGTTTATCTTTATTCAAAAGCTGACCTTGTTTTTTAGTGTTTTCTACAAATGCTTTCCACTCATTGCCGCATTAGGTTGTCTATAATAACAATTAAGCTATAAATGAAAAAAAACATTATTTCTATTTCTTCTACTGTACTTGATTGGGTTCTATGACTTTCCTGTTTCTATTGTTTTCAAATCGGCACTTTCGCTCAAGAAATGTAGCACAGTGTTAATTCAGTTTTATTTTTAGTATATCAAATTGTCCATAGTTGCTAGCTTTTTTCCATTGTAATTTTAAAAATGACACCAACCAAGTATCGTCTACTACAGATGCAATACGCCAAAGAATATCGTCTACGTGCAATCTCCAAGAAGTGGAAAGGCAGAAACCAACCCATACAATAGATATAAGTTAACTACATAAGAAATAATTTTAAGAGTTACTGTGATTTTTCACTGATTTGGTAAAAGAACATTATATTGCAATAACAATGCCGTTATTATCGTTACATAGCACGATTCAGAAGAAAATAGATTTTAAAATCAGCAAAAAACATATTGCAAATACTTCATTGAGAGAAATTTAGTAAATCACAATTTAAATATTAACAGCTGTTTCATTCAAAAGTAGTGTAATGTATGCATATGGTCGTGATGTAAACAAATCTGAAGAGGGAACTTTAGAGGCCTCTGGGCAGAGCCCCAAGGGAATTTACCTTGTTTCTCTTTTAATGGCTCATCTACAGACTAAGACCTTTCTTTAGAGACCCCTACCAAGTTTCTACGCCCAGCCGTTCTCTGAAATTAGCTGTGACAAAAACCCGTTTTTCCTCCATAAGAATAACAAGGGAT